ATGTGACAAATCTTTAAATTATACACTCATTATTTTTCATCAATATAATGTGCCTAATCACTAGTCTGAAGTGTAATTTTCAACGTTAGATAAACTAATTGACCCGTGGCAAGTGTTGGAAGAAACATACCCTGCTCAAAATGTGTGTTTCAAAAAATGTCGAAAAGATATATGAGATAGTTCATTGATTAATGTCATAAGAGCTCAATGGTCATATTTTCCCGATTCGTCGGGGAAGACACCAGCATAACTAAATTGCCTTCTGTATTCAAAACAAATATATTAAGTCATAAGTTACTTCTTCATATGCTCCAAATTCTAAAAAAGATAGCAGACATGGCATTAGAGAAATAGCAAAAGGGCGATGATCACAAGAATAACCGCAGTAATATACATTTTAAGCATGAACTTAAGGAACTCTTTTGATACAGAGACATCCATTATTGCATTTGAAAGGAGGAAGTAGAGATAAAATGGCAAGAGGAAAGCATAAAAGTATCTCATTTTCCACCCAAGGTAGGGAACTGCCCTGGATCTTCAATGGCAGGTGCTTTCACATTGCTCATCTCACCACCTCCATTGTAACCTCCTCTAGAACCACGCCCACGTCCACGACCGCGGCCACCAGGAGTGTAGTACCTATCACCCTCAGGTGGCTTCAAGAACTCGTTAATGCTGACAGACTAAACAATCCAAAACAAAATGTTGTTATACAGTTGTATTGCAGGAATAAATAGAAAAATGCCAATGCATGATCAAAATCGGCTACAGGAATAGAAGGTTTTGCAAAGAAACATGTCTGAAACCAGGCCACATGCAAAGTTACAACAACACGAGAGAGCACAGAGAAGTTTACAACAGTGGCACCTGCCCCATACAACCCATGAGAGTATATGTACACGAACAGTTACCTTTTTGGCTCTCTCTTCCTTCTCAGCCAATTCTTTCTTCTTATCCTTAAAAGAGCCCTACAGAACGAAATCAAGTTGATGATGAACATAGAAGAACCTATTTACATTGACATGCATTTTGAAGAACATGTCAAAGATAAATATAGAAGAGTAACAAGCATGAAAATAAATACTGAAAATAGATTAAATAAATTCACCAATTTGATGAATATATCATCATTATTTTTCTTGTTTGCAAGTTGTTGCATAGATTCAAACTCTTTCACGTCGACTTTCCTCCCCTCGATTTTAAGATCATGAAGAGCCTTCCTTTTCTCCACTAGAACCTTCTCGTACTCTTCAAGAGTCATCTCCTGCAATTTCAAGGACCATTTATTCCAGAACGTGTACAGAGATGACAACTCAGACCAAATTGGCATGCGACTAATGAAGCTAACCAAGTTACAAGATACCCTTAATCTGTGTTTTCTCATTTAAATGGCAAAAAGTGTCCAGCGAAAGTTAATGTTGACTAATAGTGATGCTTTCAGTCTTCACGTAAAACAGAACAGACAACAAACAAGATTTTGTTCCAGCAATCCAATGACATAATTGTCAATCATAAAGCACACGTGTCAAATAAAAATTGTTGCGTGTTAAAGACAATGAATAACAGTTCAGGGATTTGTTAAGTTAAAACCAAAACAAGAATACCAGTGCTATGATCAGCCTGTGCTTGCTGCATATTATTCAACATAAATTTCCACAAGGACATTTTTGGGATGAAGTAAGCAGATATCATGAATGCAAAATGCTAAGAAATTTGCTATGTGAAACCAGAGCAGTTCAATATTGGTGTCACCAAAGGATTCTAACAGAAGATTACTATTTAATAGCTAGAAACCCAGACTGCTGACAGAATAGCTACAAATTAAGTTATTCCAGCAATCAGCATTGTTGAATTCAGCTAGATGATTCTCTGGGAATATTCGGGAGAGGAAGAATGAAAACTAGTTTCACAAATATCTATAAATTCATCTTCACAAGTCATAAAATCTCATCACTGATGCTAAAAACACTACCAAGTGACATTCTCAGGCTCAAAGTGAAAGAGTATAGGTGGTACTTTTCATAGGATAAATAATCAATTGTAATTAGCTAGCATAAAAAAATAAAGGTTCTCTCTCAAGACATCATGTGATAAAAGAAGAGAATCAAACATCAGCCTGTGGAAGTAGGAGACAACTACCATTAAAGTAAATGGAATCATGAATTAATGCATATGAAGACCTTAACCTTATCCTCAGGTTCCTTCTCTTCAATTTCAATTGCAGATGTTTCCTTGTTTCCATCTACTGCATCCTCCTCTCCTGAAGGCTTCTCAGCATTCAGATTTTTCTCACCTTCATTGACGACTTCATCAGTAACTCTATAAAAAAGGTAGAAGGAACACTGGATTAGAAATATAAGACAAAGCATATGCCACTGTAGCCTTACTGCCAAAGGCACAAAGGAAATACTCACTCAATCTGTTCATCGGTCTGAGCTCCCCAGTTACCTCGGCCAGCTCCTTCACGTTTCATCTCATTTCTGCAACATGGAACATGGTTCACGACAGAATATAAATGTCAAAGGACCACAAAGACACAAAAGGAAAGGAGAAATTAGACAAAAACATTGCAATATACCCGTGCCCAGAGCCACTATGGCGATCAAAAACACGACGTGGCCTTTCCTGTTCACCTTCCCCCACTTCTCCATTGCTGAAACCACCTCGGCGACCGCCACCATAAGGACCACGAGATCCACCATAGCCACCTCGCCTTTCAAAAGGTTTCTTGGCATCGGCCTCACCGGATTCCCCTTGACCACCAGAAATTTCCACATTTCCATACGAGTTCCCATTGTTGGTTGAGTCTCTATTGTACCCACGGCCACGACCACGGCCACGCCCATATCCTCGTCCACCACGGCCTCCTCGTGCAGATTCAGGCCTTTCCTCCCTGACTGCTCAACAAACACAAATGTATGTATAAGGAATTATCAATGGTTAAACAGTAAAAAGTGAGGATATATATACATATATACAGACAGTTGATGAAAAGTACCTACCTAAAACTTAATTCGCTGCTATTTGGAGGAGATTATAAATAATAAAAGATTGTTTCAAGGGATAAATATAATAAAGCGAGAATTGATAAAATTGTGTGTGTCACCAAGAACAAAAAAAATGTGAGCAGCAGAAAAAATATGGCATGAATAAGTTTATCAAGCATTCTCCAAATGATGATAAAAAAGAGAGCAGAGAAGGCACTCCGTCCTAATTGCTGTACCTTCACATTTACAATCAAACTCTTTAACTTATGGTCACTCTTGGCATAGTGGTCCACATGGATAAAGTACAATTAATAGGTTGTTGCAAGAACACTTGGTCAGTGCAAATATTCCAAGAGCACTATGATGAAAAGTTTACATGCACCTCATTTTATTTTCAGTTTTTTCCTTCCCACGGCATGACATACTATACGGGGTGTATTCAAAGAAAACCAAGCCAAACCAAGGGAAAAGATTGGTGGAGAAATAGTACACGTCGTCTAAAAGGTAAATCTCAATTATAATATTTCGATAAATGAGGATTCCTACACATATTTTGAGGAAACTACTTATGATTGGCTTCATTATTTAATTGATGACTTGACAAAGCACAAAGCATATATTCAAAAAGACAGCAGATAGGAAATACACAATGTAATGGGCAATCCATAAGCCACAAAAGATCTCTGCTAATAACTCTACAAAGAGTTCTATTTTATCTCTGCGTGGACACCAGAATAATGAACTTTGGAAGCACAATATATATAGACACTTTCCTGTAATCCACAAGATATGAGGAAATAATACAACAAGAAGATATCTGCTGCACTACATATTCCCACAACCCAAAAAAAAAGGCATATACAGAATCTATGCCAAAAAGGCTCCCAAATTTAAAATTGATTACAAATGCAAGGAAATTGATATTATTAAGCAATATCATTGTCATGAATGATTATTAAATAGTTAAAAAAAACTTAGAATTTCAGAGACAATATAGTTCAAATAGAACAATACTGGTGAATATTTACAGATTCAATCCTTTCTGTTAGAACAATATTGGTGAATATATGCAGATTCTTTCTGCCCTTAAATTTATCAAAAATAACTTTGCCCCCAAATTTTATGGGAAAAATTTAAGCAATGGGGATATTGTTACATAAATTGAGTAAAAACACGTTCAAATATATATTTTTAAAAAATCTCTAATAAGTCTTAAACCCCTTAAAGCAAATAACAATATAATTAGCAATGTTCATACAAGAGAAACAATAAATCAGATATGTAGAAATTAATCAAAATCTTTGAATTTTTTTTCCATTCTTTTTCAAATTAACAATAGAAATAAAAGAAGCGATAGAGGAGCGCAACTGACCAGCCTGAGCCGGGGGAAGAGGCTTCGAAGGAAGCTTAGCACTCCCCGCAGCAGCAGCCGGCTTAGTTTGCGGCTGATGCTTGGGCGGCGTCGAGGGAGCTAGGGCTTTCTTCGGCTCAATCTTTTGGATAAGCTGCGACGGGTCCTCCGTATCATCGTCTCCCAACAAATCAAATGGATTCACTGTCGCCATTTTGCAGCCACCAGAAGATAAACCCTAGCTTTTCAGATATATCAAAAGCACAAATCCTTAATTGAACTCTTCATTCACGACCATTATTATAAATATAACAGATCTATGTTAAAGGATAAAAAGATAGTTGGGTTCGGTGAAACCCTAGCCGCAATGAACAGAAGAGGAGGTAGAGAGACACTGGTTTATCAGGAAACCCCTTTCTAGTTTCTAGTTTTTATTGTTGTTTATATGAGAATTCGTTTTACTTTAGTAGTAGAGTAGTAGTAGCCGATGTTTTATACGAGAATATATACGTACAAATCTAGTGTATGTACATACTGCATATAATGGGCTGGGCCAGTAACATGGTGATTGGTGGGAGCTGGAATTCTTGTTGGGCCATATTTAATTTATCCATCATAAAGAGAGTGAATCTATTTAGTCCTATTCGAATTATAAGTCTCGTCTATGTGATATTAGATAATAGATTTAATGAAATTTGAAATTAAATAACTCATATGATTATACTAATAATTTAAGGTCACATTAACATCACATTGACCTTAAATTATTAGTATAATCATATGAGTTATTTAATTTCAAATTTCATTAAATCTATTATCTAATATCACATAGACGAGACTTATAATTCGAATGGGACTAAATATCACTTTTCTATAAAGAAAGAGAAAAATAATATTCTTCTTAATTCTCAAAGTAATTTTATAAGGTTTGGTGTGAGAGTGTACTTGAGGATTTGAATGTGATAGATATTATGTAATTGTAATAATTTTTTTACAATGAACGAGGATTCATTGGATATGACTTTTGCTTTTGTTCATTTTTGTAAAAAAGTTTCACGAGAATGCTAGTATTTGGAAATTAAGGATTTGTCTGAGCCCTTTTTTGAGATAATAGATTTTGTGATAATAATTTTTTTGAGAATGTATGTTTAAAAAGTATAAAAAAATTAAAAAAATAGATTTACTTGTAACAATATGTTATTAGGAGAATGTGTGATTAATAATGAGTATAGAGGAAAATGAGTTTTTAAAGAATGTGTTTGTTGGACTAATTTCTAAAAGCTCTTCTCGTTAGAAAAAACATTTTAATAAAATTAATCGAATTGGCCCAAAATCTACTTTTGAGTCTCAATAGCACCTTCTTATTCTCAAAAAACGAAGCCAAATAGGTCCTGATCCTCTCTTTAATAATCCATGGTTATGCTGATTTTAAGTTATTTTATGTAACTCTTTTATATTATTTATTACAGTGTCGAGAATCCTAGAAAAGTACGTGAAAATACACCTAAAATTGGGGATGTGTTGTAAGCTTGACAAACGGTATTGTGATGTAAAAAATATTCTATACTTGAAAACAAAGAGACGTAGTGATGACAAAAAAATCCATCCTCCCCCCGTCCCGAACGAGTTGTCAGAGGGGGGGGTGAGGAGGGGTACCCAGTCGCGGGGCGAGGATGCCCAGCTCCGGACCCGCCCTGTGAAGGGAAAAAAGAAAAAGAAAAAATGATTAAAAATAATTTTATTTCTAGAAAATTCACCCATTAAAAATCCATTTTAAATTTATATTTTATTCTCTAATAATGACATAGTTCGAAATTTGGAAAATGTAAAAAATATATATAAAAAAAGAAAATTTAAATGTGGCAAAAAGTTGCCACGCCCAGTCAAGATGGGCAAGGCTGGGCGAGATTTGGCGCAAGACAAGGCGGGGGTTGGGACGCCTCACCATGTTGCCAGCCCAAAAGAGACCCTATTAATTTAAAACGACGACAGGGCGGGGGTGTGGAGCGGGACGAGGTTTGGGCAGACGGGGCACGAGTTGGGGTGGGGGCCGCCTTGCCCCATTGCCATCCTTAAAGAGACCCTATTAATTTAAAACAATTATGATATTCATGTAAACTAAAAATAGAGCTGTTGTGGAAGATGCATTGTATTCGTTATGAAGACTCTAAAACCATTTTTACCTTAAAGTCTAAATAATCAATTAATAGACCATTCTCACCTCTCTGTTACATAATGTTACCCGCACATTCGAACAATCATCAAAATTGTCGATGGTTGTAGGTATTTCAATGATTAAGTCAATTGTTGAAAAATACTAATATGGGCGAAATTGGACGGAGAGACAAGTAGACAAAGTTGTAGGTATGGTTTAACTTGTGTACCTTGTAATGAAAAAGACGTTTGATAATTTTTTATAAAAGTTAATGAAATATGTAATCGAAAATTTGTTAAAAGTTGTGGTTTTAATATTAAATTTTTGGCAACTATTTAATTTATTATTAATAAATAATAATCACTAAATGCATTTCATATCTCTTAGAGTCCTAATTATACTTCAAGTGCAAGAAAGAAGAGTCATGATTACATCAACCCAATTTGACTGACACCAGAAATATCTAGATGAAGACCCATCAAAACATCATATGATATGTTAGGTTACACGTATACCTTGTAAAATATGGGTGTAACAATTACAAACTTTAACGAGAACAACAGGAATTGTAATAAAATGATATTGTAACCCGAAGAAAGAGTTTGTTATATTAGAACGAATACTATTGAAGAAAGAAAAGAGTGCCTATTCCCTTCATCTAGTATTTTCGTACCACATGTCAAGAAGTAACTTGATTTATACAATCTTTTTGCAATATTGATTTGATTATTAATTTTATAATCTTTAACCATGGAAATAAAATAAAAATGTTACCTTAGTCTTGATTTAAATTTGAGTTTTTTGGAATATTTTTTTGTTAAAAGCAATGCTATTTAGAATTTGTAAATTTTGTAGAAAAAATTATAAATTTATGTATAAAATTATTTTATTTAAAAATGTGAGATTAAAAAGGAATATTAAAAAATAAATAAAAATGAAGACACAAATAGGGACATAAACTCACGGGGTTAATTTTACAACCCAAAAAAATTAGCGAAGTCATTGGCCCTTTACTATGTAAAATAATAAAGTGCAATTGTGCAAAGCGCGTAAAGCTTTTTTCTTTTTGCAGCCATTCCCCCTCCTTCCTCACTCACGCACTTTTCCCTCTATAACAGCTCAAAATAAAGTAATTTCACAACTTTCCTGCCGTCATCAAAGAAAACTTGCTACTTTTTCTTGATCCCCATGTTGTCTCCCACTCTCCTCCTCCACTGGCCTTCTTTTAACAAAAGAGAAAGATTATAACAAAATTCTCACAGGGGTTTCCTTCATAATCCTCCCTTTCTGCAGCTTCTCATTGAAAAGGTAACAAACTCAACCTTTAAATTGTTAATATCTTGTTCATTGTAGGGACTCTAATACTGTGTATTAAATGCACCCACAGTTTACGATTTGACCTTGTTATGGTTTGAATTTGATTGTGGGTTTATAGGATTATGATGAAAAATGTCTACTACTACAACTACAAGTAATAGCACAAATTCTACAGCAACAACATTCATCAAATGTGTAACAGTTGGTGATGGTGCTGTTGGGAAGACATGCCTTCTCATTTCTTACACTAGCAACACCTTTCCAACTGTATGTATATATATAATTACCTCCTTCCACTCTTTTCTATATTTTTACTTTTTTCGTTTTTTAATTTCTATTTTTCTTTTGTTCCATGTTTGTTTTCTTCACAGGATTATGTTCCAACTGTTTTTGATAACTTCAGTGCGAATGTGAGTGTTGATGGGAGGACTGTAAACTTGGGATTGTGGGATACTGCTGGTATGATTTTATAAATATGTATGCATATATTGTCTTCAATCTGTGTATATATGACATATCAATCTGCAAAGTTATACACTTCTGGTTTTCCAATATTCAAGCTAATCTTCTATCATGAAATCGGTATCGAGAAAAGTAATAATCAGTTGTATAATTGATAAATTGTGCTACTTCTGTTTTCTCAATGTGTGATTTTGCAGTGCTAACTCCAAAATTTATCTGGAATAAAGCTTAGTTTATTGTTGAATATGTAATTTCTCCTCGTATAATTTTAACAAAAATTTTGAGGCCTGGTCTCTGTCATTATGATCCAGCAGTTTTAATTGGAAAAGAAACTCTTAAATTTTGTGATTCCTAATCCGGTGACAAAATTATCTATAGTATTCTCGTCTATCTTGAATGTCAGATTTCTGAATTTAATTTTAGAATGTGAACATCAAATTGTCACTTTTGCCAAGCAAAAACAATAATTGTCCAGTTTTTCGTCGTTAGCAGTTGATATTTCAAGATTTTATCCTTCATGAAGGAGATGAAACCCATTTTATAAACAAAGATGATCTATATTCTTTAGGTGTGCATCTTTCTCTTGTTTTACTTTTGGTAAGTAGCTCTTGAATCCTGACATTGGAATGAAACTCGTGCAAAATTATGGATAGATCCCAGATTGAACAACTCAGGATCTGATGAAACTTGCCCCATCTTCTGTTAACAATATGATACAATTAACAAATTTAATCTATTTATGGCAGGTCAAGAAGATTATAACAGACTGAGGCCTCTTAGTTATAGAGGAGCTGATGTTTTCCTACTTGCCTTTTCTCTCATAAGTAGGCCTAGCTTTGAGAACATCTCGAAAAAAGTAAAAAAATAAAATTCTCTCAACTTTGAAAACATTGTCAAGTGGTAGTTATTTACTTTTTTGATCTTATAGTATTGGCTTCTTTTTTTGTTTTCTTTTCCTCGTTTGGTGGAGAAGTGGGTCCCAGAGCTAAGGCATTATGCCCCATCAGTGCCCATTGTCCTTGTGGGGACAAAACTAGGTGAGTATTCTTCATTCTACAAGATTTTATTAATTCAAAAAATGATTGTTACTCAACTTGTTACTTTGCTTTCCTTTGAAGCTTTTCCCCCTTTTCTTTTCTGTATTTTGACTGCTTAAAGTTTCTGAATTTAAATCTAAAAAGCAAATACTTTTCGTTTTCTCTTTCGCTGTATCTCCTATCAGGGCCAATATTCATGCAGTAATTTAAACAAGTACATTTATATTAACTCATTAGCTCGTAGTTGGATCTCTTGAGTTGCTTAAACATATACATTCTCATCATGTGTACAAGTTAGTTGTTTTATGAAAGAAAATGATGTGCTACGCTTATAATCAGCAGTTGATAGATGCAAAGAAATACATTTGATCAAACCCAGTAACTTGTAATAGGGATCTCCTTGGCTACTACTTAAAACATATGCATGCTCATAGTTACAAGTTAGTTACCTGGGCCAGTGTTCTGGTTCCTTTTGAAAGGTTGGTTCAATAAACACTGAGGCCATATTGTACTAGTAGTGACACTGGTATACAAATTTATTCAAGCAGAATATACAATGAGTTTCTCTATTTGTTCTTATTTTTCCTCCCAAAATGTCTAACTAGAGAATGCACTCTGCCATGCAGATTTACGAGAGGACAGGCAGTTCAAGAAGGATTATCCAGGAGCATGTACTATTTCCACAGAACAGGTCTATACTTTGGACATGTGCATTCTTTACTTCAGGAAAGTTCTGCTCTAGGCAGTTCTGTATCACATTTAGATTAATAATCCTGTCTTTGTACTCAGAGAAATTTGATATTCTTTTGGATGTTTGCCCTTCCACTTTTGCTTATCAAAGAAAGGATAATGTGTTAGAAACTCTTGATTGTATATGTTATCATAACAACTTTTACAGTATTTCTTGAATCCTCTATCACCAAACAGTTATAGGAAATAAATTTTGCCGGAATGACAAAAGGAAGGAAATTGTAATGGACACCTCTGAACCGCCCACTGCTAGAATTGTGTAACACACTCACTTTGATGTTGGTTCTTCTGAGGTTTCTCCTGCACTAGCCAAAAATCGGAATGTCTAATATGAGTTCTATTTACATTGAAATAATCGCATATTGGAGATATGTAATATCAAGTCCCACTTATGTTATAAACATATCCCGTTGAACATCCTTGCCTAAAAGCTGGTTGTGGGGGGGGGGGTGGGAGCTCTATACGCCCTGATGCCTTGTTGTGTTCCTTACTTTCAAACTCCATGCTTCAGCGCTGCAGCTTCCTTTGAGAATTTGATTTTGAATTTCCTAATAATCTTTTAGGGCGAAGAACTGAAGAAGCAAATAGGAGCAGTGGCATATGTTGAGTGCAGTGCTAAAACACAGCAGGTTTGACCATTTTTTCTGGTTTTTTCTAAAAATCTCAATTCATTTTTGGGTCGTTCTTAAACCAGCAAAGTAACAAAGGGCTGTAGAACTTGACAGCTGTACATACCTAAAGCTTTCCCGGGCCATTTTTACTCACTTATATTGGACTAAAAGATCTGGCTCCCCTACTAATCTGTTTTCACACTTCTGTTGGAAGTTGTATTTAATACCCTTGATTCAGAAAAGGTCTTTGATTAGTGAATGCGAGAGCTACTTATAGTTAGTTAGAACATCGCAAATATGATATGCTTCAAAATCATCTTACTACTAGAAAGAATCATCGGTAGAAATTAATGTTTTATTGTCTGCAGCCTACCTATAATATGATTTTCCTTTATCAAATGCAGAATGTTAAGGCCGTCTTTGATGCTGCAATCAAGGTAGTTCTGCAGCCTCCAAAGCTCAAGAAACTGAAGAGAAAATATAAAGTTTGCCGCATACTTTAATCAGATTCGCTAAAGTGCTGACATATGTTTGCAAGGATGAATATTTGTTGCTTATATTCTTTTTCTGGTCTGTTGTGACTTTCGTTCTTAGTGCATGGGGTCGGTGTTTCATCTTCCCCGTCCCCACCTAGCCACTACTCCGTCCACAATGAAATATGTTAGTTCTTCATATCTATGATGGGATCCCAGTATTGTGGTTGTAGATGTTATAACGTGTAGGAACCCTTTTCTTGTCTTGGCTTTTGAGCAATCATGTGTAAATGAATGAGCCTGAAAATTTTAACTCGTGTGAATTTATGATTATTTTTGGTTTGGAGGTTCGGTGAGTAAATGGATAAGTCAATCTTTCTTAACTTCTCGCCCTGCATCGAATATTATATTGTGCCAGGTTAAAATTGGACAATGCGCTTCTCCAAATTTTCATCTTATGTTAGAGCACACTACAATTTAGGTTACCATCATTAAGAAAAATTCATTTAGACCTTGTTTGAATTGCCCTTCTTCTTCTTTTTTTCCATTTTTTTTTTTTTTTTTTTTTTTTTGGGAAAATAGATTTCATAGTACTAATTTTTTGAAAAATGTGTGGTAAGTAGATTTTTTATTATTAAAAGATCGTGCTGTTGAAAATGAATTGTTTTTATTTATTTTTTATTTTTTTAAAAAGATGGGACTCAAACAAATGTTTATATTGTTCGTGTTCAAGTTTGAAGGCCTTACATTATTCGAGAATTGTTAGTATCCAAAATAATGAATTTGTTAAAAGAAAGTTTGTTTTATATTATTGATCATGTAAAATGATCATTTGACGTCTAATTGCCCCAACTTTATATTCGGAAGAATGTTGGAAGAAAATTGAATTGAGGTGCTAATATTGGCATGAATTTTGAGTGAGATTCGTATATTTATTTTGAAAAATCAAGATTGATTTTTGTTCTTTTTAATGAGAATATCAAAATTATATATTTACTTGCAAAAAATGATGTTCGGGTAAACGAGAAATTAGAGCTCAAAGTGATGCATGCCTGAAAATAGATTTTGTGCTTGAGGAAAACTAGTTTAAAGTTATCTCATATAGAAAAATAGATAAAGACAATGACTACTTAAATATGATCACAATTTAAAATGGTGAAATAATGTATAGTATAAATGCTCTCTTTACGTGCGTGTTTAAGGGTGCAAATCGTGGATTGAAAAAAGTTTCGTCATAACTCTCCCGACTTGTTAATTCTTACTGTAATTAATAAAATATTTTTTGCTAACAAAGAATACGTTTGTTTGAGCCCCATTTTTTCTTCAAAATGTATTTTGAAATAGCATTTTAATGAAGAATGTATGATTAAAAAATAAGAAAACATATTAATTTTGAGTGTAATATTATTTTATTGAACAATGTGTGATTGTAAATAAAAGAAAAAAAATGTATTTTAAAAATAATGAAAATCAAACAAGGACTTATTTTTATTACAATAATAATTGAAATTTTCTTTAAATCTGAATCCGAATGTCACTCCTTGAAAATATTTAAATATTATCATAAAGAGTAAAACAAATAATGTCATGAGTTTATCGATCCTTACAAATTTTGACGTGCTGAGCTAAGCTCGACGTGATTAAAAACAAGTTAGATCGTTCCTCATTTGCGTAGGCTAAGCTTGAAATTAAAACTAGTGTTTAATAAATCATTATTCCTTTACTTATTTTAACTCTGATCGGTAAATATTATTTATTTCGTATTGACTTATTAGTTAATTTTATTTTCAGTAAATTTTGAAACTTAGCCAAACATGGTATAAGATTACTCCATCGACCCTCTACAGTCGACACTCTCATAGTGGGCTACATATATAGTACAGATTCCGGGCCCGTTTGCTATTCAAATCTCGGATCTCCGCAAAAGGTAATCCCTCTGTTTTCTGTTTGGATAACTTTATCCAAACCCTAGCAGGATGATCTTGGAATCTGCTATTTGAACTTGATCAAGGTTTTCTGTTTTTATCTTTATTTTTTCAGAAAATGGCGACACTGAGGAATCTGAAGATAAAAACATCGACTTGCAGGAGAATAGTGAAGGAGCTTCACTCCTACGAGAAGGAGGTCGAGAGAGAAGCCGCCAAGACAGCAGACATGAAGGCCAAGAGCGCCGATCCCTATGACCTCAAACAGCAGGTCTTTTTTTTAACATATATATTACATTTATGTTTGAATTTCTATATTAGTTATATTCTAATTAAGATGATCTATTCGAATTTTATTAAATAGGAGTGGAAAATCATTTAGGAAATTGGGTTAATCCTATTATAGATTGGGATTACATTGATTGGGTAAACCATATTTACCTTTATAGGATAATTGCGTCATTTACAATCTTTTGACATTCTTCTTTCTGCAATTCTGCTGCATTTCCTCATTGAAGAGGCTACTAGAGTTTCTTCAGAAGTTCACAAACTCAAAACGAACACGTACTCCCTCTGTTGAAAATTTGGATTGTTTGATGACACCTATGGGATTTACATAGATAACTCTAATGGTTGTGTACCTTCAAATTGTGTCTATAACAAGACACCTTTCAATTCATTCGACAATGGTGGTTAAATATGAAGTTGGAATCCATGTGGCAGCACTATGGGTCAACTGGGCCGGAGTTATGCCTGTCATTTATAATCAACTTCGCAGCTAGTGAGTCTACGAAATGCCTGGTTTATCTATTGTGTTTCACCTTAGAAGTGAAAGCAAATTGTGCATCTTCCTATTCTTTTTGTGTATATACTGGACACTATTATTTGGGTGTGGCTGTGTTTCTATTTACAAGTTATTTTGGCTAGAGTGTATCCCTTGAGGCTTCATTCAAGTTGACCGCATGGCTTCGAAGACTGGAACCTAATTAGTTCTTTGATTGACAATGGATGGTTCCTTGAAAATATAAACTTTATGTATCGGACCAAATTATAAACCTCATGATTTCTTGTTCTCTTCTCATTTATTGACACCTTTTCTTTTGATGTACTTCTTACAGGAGAATGTGCTAGCTGAATCAAGGATGATGATTCCTGACTGCCACAAGCGCTTAGAGGCTGCTCTGGCTGACCTTAAAGCAACTCTGGTAATTTATAACATTGTTCTGAGAGCATGCTGTACTTTTTTTTTAATCTGTATTTTAATTTTGGTGCTTATAATCCTCCTCTGTTTCCCTAAATGAAATGAAATGTTCAAAAGAATGACTAGTTGCAAGAAGATGAAATATAGTAGGATTTTTTTATTTGGGACTAATTATTGTGAGGTGACTGCTGACCAGGTGACTTCCCCCCAGCACTTTGCTGTTAGGTGTTGTTTACATGAGTTAGATTTGATATCTACTTTGCAGTCCGATAAGAGTTCGTTACAGATCATTAAATTCTTGTCTCCAAACATTTTCACTCGTGTACAAGTTCAGCTCGCCCTGCATTTTTTACTATAAAAATTGAGCTATAGTGGATGAGTGGGTACATTGGCTTTGGGTGGGAAATGGTACAGTCGGTCTAGGTTGTTTACTTGGTTTCACTTGGTTGAGGGAGGAGTTAACTAAGGTTTATGGCTGAGCTTCATTTTCGGTCAAATTATGTTTTGTGCTGTTTCAATTTATTGGTTATTTTATCTCAGAACTCCAAAGCACCCTGCCCCAAAGTCAGCTGCAGTGCAGTGTTGTTGATCTTCTGTCTTGCTTGAAACTAGTTTCCTAAAGCATTGTACAGTTCATACGTTTTGCTTACAAATGACGATACATATCAGCCACTGCCTGTGCAAAAAGCATATAATCTAATGAACGTACACGTGAATAAATAATAAAAGCTTGAATGCTAATCAAATCAGTAGTTGTAAAGTCATAGAGTTAAAGAGACTTGATTAGTTTAATTCCAACGTCAAAGTCATTTCATTTTTGCGAGTGGCTTCTAATCAAGAACTCTAATTGCAGGTTGAATTGGAAGAGCTGAACCAAAAGGATGGCCCTGAAATCGAAGAAGCGCGAACCATCATACCAGAAATAGAACAGTTATTTCAATCTACAGAAGCTTAGTTTATCTGCCCCTGCAAAACTAGCGTGTGGAACTTCTATAACGAGTACTTAATGTTTGCAACCCACAGACTCCTATGGGTTTGGAACATCTTCTAAATTTCAGATTTTTGTGCATGTAGCAAATTGTACTTGGAATATCTGATCTTTTTTGTGAATTATGTGGATTGAAAATTAAATCTGTGCAAAGATCAGCTGAGAGTCAATGACATTGCTCAAGTTTATGGTAGTGGTCTATTTTGGTAGAAAGTTCATTTTAGCTGTAGAATGTTTTTTAGAGTGCTTTAAGGTTTCAACATGTGATGAAACGCTTGATTTGATGGTTTAGGGATTTCTCAAGTATCTAACCGCATGATGATACGAAGTATTCCTCGAGCACACGAAAATTAGTTTCTATTAATGATCGGGCATCTTAATCTATACTTTATTAAAATATGCCACAATGAGAGTCTATAATTTTTTATTTTATTTTAAAAAAAAAAAATAAAGAAGCAAACATTTGTGATTAATTTAAATATGTTTTTTTTTTTTTACGATTTGTTTTTTGAATTTAATTTATCTGCGGGCCATGTTGGAACTCACCAAGCAATTTCGCAAGGGAAAAAAGCAAAAAAGAAAGCCAAAATATATTTTTACGCGGTGTTGACAAGATTAGTTTAGCGGAATGCTCTGGCAAAATAGAAATACAATATTACCCATAGAAGTAAGACTTGTTCTGGTATGATTAGATTATATTTTGAATATTCAACAATTTTATATGAATTTAATAATAATGCAATTAATATAAATTATTTAACTGATAATAATGAGATTAAAACCTTCTTGTCAACTCATGATAAATTATATTTAAACATGAAATAAAAAGGAATAATTATAGTAGAGGTCTCAAACCTTTAAAATATTATCAGACTTTTTTCAAACATTTTATTTGTTGCAACCGTCATCATAAACATTTTGAAACTTTGTGGCGGAAGCTCTTTTGGATGGTTTCCATTCAAAATTTCGTTAGTTGATAAAAAATTTAACTTTGACTACATTTTTTATATTTTAAAAAAGAGTAAAAGGGTTACTTTCTATCTATAACATTAATCAAGTAATTAAATTAAAAAATCGGAAATAAAAAACACACACACACACATTGTCATATTCTTCCTCTTGCGTCACCTATCTCCACCTCAAATCCAAAGTCCACCCCTCATCACTACCTCCACATCAACCTTTATCCCAACTTGGCCAACGCTCAAGTTAAAGCAATAAGGAGAGCGAGAAAGATGGAATTGAATGTGAGGGAGAGGAAGTAGCTAAAGAATAAGGCGATTTGAGCAAAAATTAGGGCAAACCAGACTGCGAAGAATGAACCGGGGTTAAAATTGATGGAATCGAGGATATAGGCTATCATGAGGTCGACAGTGAGAATGGCGACAATCGGAGTTCCACCAAGTTCTAGGAGGAAGACGACGGATGGTATCAGGGCAATAGTGATTTTGGTGAAGAAGGAAGACGGCGAGTATCGGGAATTTCTAGCGGAAGAGCCGCTGTTGCTGTTGGTGGTGCAATGATAGATGGAGTAGAAAGAGCTAGGGCTAGGGTTTTGGTCGCCATTGTAGGAGGTAGTGGGAAACGAAGGGCGGCCAAGGAGGAAGATATGTATGGACAAAAGACCCTCGGCTGGAGCTTTGTTGGAAACATCTTCAATGGGGACCTCGGCAGTTATGGCGACGTCTGAGGAGGTGGCGGAAATGGGTGTTTGCAAAGGATAGGTTGGGGAAGAAGATAAATGTTTTCCCCCCTTCTTTTAATTTAATTATGTAATTATTTAATTTAATAAATTGAAAGTTACTATTTTGCCATTTATAAGAATATTAAAAATGTGGTCAGACTTAAGTTTTTTGTCAACTAACCGTAATTGGATGTTTTCCATCCATTGGGACCTCAACTGTAATGGTTCGAAATGTTTGAGGTAATGGTTGCAACAAATTAAAAGTTTGAGAACAGTCTACTAATATTTAAAGGTTTGAAACCTATGCTGCAATTATCCCAAATAAAAATCAACTTTTGATGGATACAAAATTAAAGTATACTTCCCGTCCGGTCATTGATGAGTTGTAATGGTAAACTCTCACCTCGGAATATCGCTTTTAAACTACGCCTATGCTAGCAGAAAAAGAAATAATGGTATTTAGATAAAGCCGTAAATCAAATAATGATGAGATCTTACCACACTTGTACATTTAATGAAGGTCATGAACTTGAACATTGTATGTCTACTTTTCATGACATTCAAACATTTTGGTTGACAATATCACGATTATTAGTGTTACATTTTTGATAAGAGTAGAATCAAATTAGGGTATCGAATAAATTTGTGTAATTGTTGACTTTAAATTTTGAATATCGATTTTAATTTATTAAAAAGAAAATTAATTTTAATATTATTGGGGTCTAACTGTGTGTAAATGTGTGGGTGTATACTCTATATATAGCTTCTGTTGTATTTGTTCAAAGTTGATTTAGCCGATGGCAGGACTCAGAGAACTCAAAGGCATTCTCAAAGACAAGGCTTCACTGTTCAAAGCAAATCTCTCAACTAATCGCCCTATGTCCTATGTTAACGTCACCGTCCTCCGTGCCACCACACACAGAACCACATCTCCGCCGTCGGAGTACCGCCTTGTCGCCATCCTCTCCCTTGGACAACGCTCAAGCATCATGGCAGATGCCTGCACTGAATCCATAATAAATCGCCTTCACAGAACCCACAGCCCCTACGTTGCCCTCAAATGTCTTTTTATTCTTCACAACATCATTTCTAAAGGATCCAGCACCCTCAGAAACCAGGTTCCAGCAGGTGGCTATAATTTTCTTAATCTTTCCGAATTCAGTTATAAGTCCAACGTCGAAAAACGAGAGATTAGCTTGTGGGTTCGATGGTATGCAAGTTTCTTGGAACTTAACCTAATGGTGAGTAGGGTTTTGGGTTTCTTTTCTTCTTCCCCATCTGTATTTTTTGACAGAAAAAGAGATTTGTTGAAGGAAATGAATACTTTGGTGGAGTTTATTGAAGGGATTTGTGAAGTTCCAGATTCTTTACACCTTCAAAGAAACGATTTGCTGCATGAACTGATGATTTTGGTAGGTGAAGACTATCGAGCGACTCAGTACCAAATCATTCCAAGACTCAGTAGTGAGACAGAATTTGCTGATCAAATTTCCAGGTTGAGTTCGACAGACTCGTCCGAGTTGATTGCTTGCTTGAAGAGATTGGAGAATTGCAAGAAGAGATTGACAGAGATATTTGCTAACAGGAAGCGACACGATGCATTTTGGGAGTTGATTAGTCAAAGAAAAATGGAGCTCGAGAAGATGAATCGAAACAGGGGAAGATTGCTGTTGTGGCAATGAAGAATGACGAGTTAATTGAGTCAACTCGGTTTGTTGAATGAGTAAAAGGAAAAATCAATTTTTAATTAGTTATTTTAATAGCTCCCTGAGTTGTATTTAATTTTCAACTTTCAAATTTTCCAGGTGTGATAATCCTTCCACTTGGAAAATACGAAGTTTCTTAATACTATGTACATTTGTGATTCGCCACTTGCCATGCATCTCTTGATGGGTCGGGTCGGGTCTAATTTGAGCCGGACCTAATCCAATTTTTAATTGTTGACTCTAAAAGTGGGTATCACGTTCGAATTTTGAGTTAATTATCATTAGGATTAAAGAGATAATAAATTTATGCATTATGCCTATTTGGGGACATTCTTAATCTATCTTTATTGTTTGGCCCAAAAATATGAACCTAATACATTAATAATTTTTTTTTTTTAAGGAACGTTTATATTTATTTAGTTAATTTCGTTAGAATATACGAGAGAACACTTAGGCATCATTCCTCGTGTCCCTTAGAACCCATTTAATACATATTAATTTTAATAAAATAAAAAGAATTAAGAGAAGGCCCGCCAAATAATAATGTGTACGTTGTTGTCGTTGAAAAAGTTGGACAAGTGCATTATTAGGAGAACTTTATCAATTTTTCAGGCTAAAAGGGTAAACAAACATTTAAATTTTATTGAGATATTATGATTAGTATCTATCAAGTTAAAGTGTTTTAACACAATAATTTTGGACCGACAATTTCTTGGATTTAGTGTTCGACCGTCAGTAAAAATCCATTTAGGTAGAATATGTAAAACAAAAATGAAAAAGGTCGCACTCAAATGAATTCCAAGATTTATGCTATAGAATGACGGATTTTGCCGTTTCTCCCGGGATTAGATTCAGGGGCGAGGTGACGTACCCCCTCCCCCTGCTTTTGCAGTAGAACCCATAGAATGACCCATCATCTTGTGGCACAATGTTTTGAATAATATTCCACGTCATTTATTTACGAAAATAATGATGGACAACGTATAAGAGCCCCTTTTCTGTTCCATTATTTCAAATTATAATGAAAAGGAATAGTAATTTTTTGAAAAATGTGTGATTAAATTTTTTTTTTTTAAATTTACGTGTAATGTTATTTTATTATAGATTAGTTTATTAGAGATGGAGAAAAATTAACTTAATTTAATGGGTGTCAAGCGGGGGTAAGAATTTGGATTACTCATTATCGAGATTGATATTTAAGATGAAAATCCAAAATTCAATAATTCTTATCTTTAGCTCGATAACGATTAAAATTAGAGTTTTAATAGATTTGGATAAAATTCGATGAAATTTATGGTAGAAAAGTTGTGGATCACATAAAATATGTGATTATTAATTATTTATTTTGACTTGATAAAAATTTAAATTTCAATCTCTATCAAACATTGACTTAATCTTTTGGAAAGTGTTACATGTATATAATTGTCTACATAATGGTGTCTATAATTACACATAGCACTAGATCCAACATTTAATTCAAATTTTACACTTGCACATCAATAACCTCATGATTGTCAATCACATTATGGATACAATTATATGCAATAATTATATACAAGTAGAATTTTCCTAATCTTTTTACCAATATTTTAAAACCCGGCCCGAGCATCGACCCGATAAACAGAAAGGGTCGAGGGTCAAAAGGTTCAACCGGGATCAAACCGGATGTGATAAATAAATATTTATAAACATTTAAATTTTATTTTCAAAATAATATATTATTAGATTTTTACACCATCAATTCAAGATAAATACTAATATGTCAAATGTACGTTTTTAATACAAATTTTAATAGTTTTTATTTTTTAGATCACTTAAAATCATTTCGAATTTAATAGTTTTTATTTTTTAGATCACTTAATAATTTGTATGATTAAAAAAATGTTTAGCAATTTATACAAATTGAGTAATTTAATTGTATAACCGTGCACCATGTGGCCAAAAAAGTATTGAAAAAGTGTGCTTTATTGACGTTTGTCAATCCCACATTGAAAGTGTGTTTTATTAAATTTTGTCAATCCCACATTAGAAGTTTATCAATTATGGGATTCAAAAAATAGTTATAAAAGAGCTCCAAAGGTGAAGAAGTCTGTATATGGGTTTCCATCTTTAAGGTAACCTTTTTATTATATAAATTTTTTTGTTAAAAAAAAATGTTGTGAAAATCGGTCAAAAACAGTAATCGGTTCCCCATTTTTTGTTTATTTGACCGATTATTAAATAATCGATTAATTTAGTATAATCGAACTGAATTTTGGTTCGGTTCCCGATTTTACCCATTGAACCGGCCAGTCCATTTCGATTTTACAAACATTGCCTTTTACACGTTATTCAATTTTGAAAAAAAAAAAAACTACTTTATTATATAATTCTTTGACAATTCTATGTGACAAAAGCATTCAGGTGAACTGATAACAAGCAATTAGTATATATTCGTGAAATTTACTTTTTAAATAAATGATTGTAAAAGAATGAAAAATTGTTGATTTACGTGTAATATTATTTTATTGAATGTGTAGTTGAAAATAAGAAAAAAAATTAATTTAAATTGATGAGATTTAATGAAGGCCAAGGCCAAATATCATTAATTTGTTATAGATTTAAAAATTCGGTTGGTCTCTAAATTTATATGTATGCTTACAAAAGTCTTTGCACTTTAACATCTTTATATTTAGTCATTAGCTTTATAATGTTTACTTGCTGAATTACATAAGTCCAAACTAACCCCTATTTGTCATCCATTATTTTATATTCTACTATATATATATTTTTTAGTACTTATTTTCAATAATATTTTTTTATTAAAATAATATTATACATAAATTCAGAACTTTTAATTCTTTTTTAACCACACATTTTCCATCAATCTACTATTTCATAATACATTTTTCAAAATTAAAAAGGTTCAAACACTACCTAATGGTGATGTTGATTAGACTCACGAAATAATTATATGACATAATTACAAACGTTAATAGCTCAGGTCATTTTTTAAGTTGTAAAAAATGTTAGTGTATTTTATTGGACATATATTAACATATATAGATTGCCAGAAGAATCATTACTTGACAATTTTTTAGGACCTGTTCAATAGTGATAATGAGAATTGATTTTTTGATCGTTAGAGAGAAAAATGGTTTCAACTTGTGAGCCAAAAAAGTCAAATATGACGATCGAAATAATAAAATAACAATAAAAAATTACATCAAATGGAGGCTTAATTAAGTAGCCACAGTGTTTTGATTGTCATGAAAACCCTAATTTGACGTAATGGTTGTACTTTAGTTCTTTACAATTTCTTTTATATCTTAATTGAAATGTGTTCCTTTATAATATTTTGGGTCCTTTTGGAAGGAATTTTTTTTTTTTTTTTTAATGGAAGATCTTTTCGAGGAAGGTATATTGATCAGTGTCTTCTAAAATATATTCAATTAGAAAAAATATTTCAAAAAATTATTCAAACATATTTCTAACTTCTATTAAAAAGGTGATTGAGATGCAATTGTAAATACAGCAATAAAGCAATCCCATTTTATTGTTCACGCTATTTTTCCCTCTCTTTTTTTTTTTAATTCTTTGCTTCTATTCATACTTGCGACCATGCCGGCAACCATGCTAACCGTACTCCCACGACCATACTCCTTTTTTTTTTTTTTTTTTTTTTTTCTTTTTTATTTTTTTTTTTTTCGTTTTGGTGATTTTTTTATTTTTTTGCCCCC